AGAGAGAGAGAGAGAGAGAGAGAGAGAGAGAGAGAGAGAGAGAGAGAGAGAGAGAGAGAGAGAGAGAGAGGTTTGCGATAGAAAATGAGAGGTGCTCTTTCATTAGTATCATGCAAAAGAAAATGAGACATGCTCTATGTTTTGTACCAGTAAGACAGCTAATGAGAGAGATGCTGTGTCTTTTCTATCAGTAAGGCGGCAAATCATAGAACCCACAGGGAAAAAGAAGCAAACAACACTATGGAAGTCATTTTTACACACAAGTGACACAACTCACTTCTATGTTATTGCACATGGTACAGTTGCCTTTACTTGCTTGACTAGCAATCGAGGTTTGAGGCAACAAGGACAGGCACTACCGAAATGACCTTTTAGGCTCCTCATCTGTCAAAGCAACAAGCTCCCCTCTTAAAACTACCAGTACACAGCCATACATCGGCCACAGGCCCCTCACCACAAGTTGCGGGGGCCTGAAACGCCGCACCGGCCCCCATTGATAAGTTTATCAACGCCGCGCCGGCCCCCAACTTTTCAGAGTAGGCGACAATTCTCTTTTCTGCAAGGCTGGGGCCGTGTACTAGCCCAGAGAGAGAGAGAGAGAGAGAGAGAGAGAGAGAGAGAGAGAAAGAAAGAATTTCACGTTTGAACCACAAGTACACCGCCCCAAGAAATAGCGGTTTAAACCACCAGTAAATGGCCCCAAGCAACTTCATTGCAACGATCGACTCGGTCCGAGAAGTTTCGAGGCTTGGGGCAACCAGACACAAACGGGTGGCGCTGCCAGCCAAAACGAAACGAAAAACGCCACGCTGCATTTTTTCAGCGAAGCTTGTCACGCAGGGGGAATCTGCCTCGTACAGAAAACGCTCGGAAGTTATGAAGTTATGAAGCGTACAGAAAACGCTTGGATTTTCACCAAAATTTTCCTATATGTCCCTGTTTAAGCTTTGGTAACAACACCAATGTGAAGCAGTACTATAATATAGACAGGGACATATAGGAAAATTTTGGCGACAGGCAAAAAATCAGGCACACATGCGAAATTTTAAAGATAAATGATAGACCTGCCCCAAAAAGGCAAGAACAAAATTTGGATTGGGAAAAAAAAAAAAGAGGGTGGATCCACCACAATAATGCAAGGTGAAGCCACTTTCCAATTGTAGGAGGCATAGCGTAAACTCTTGTCACTCTCCCATGGCACTAGGCCGATTCTCAAAGCACTCAGTGATAATCAGCTTGGCCCTTCGTACGTCATGGATGTGCGCGTCCTCATGATCTCATCTACACATGTACCTGATGTTTCATGCTTCTTCTAAATCGTATCCCTGCAAAACTTCTGATAATGTCCCTGGCACACCACTCATGATTACTAGACTTATCACCGGTGGATTGGAAGTGGATTCTGTGTGTGCACATAAAGGCAAGGGGCAACCGAGCAATCATCTTGTGCGGGTTTTTCTATCGCTCGCTTGACGAGAAGTACTGGATTTCTAGATCCCAACTGCAGAAAACCGCAACCATGTGTTGTACATGCATATGAGACCGCACTGTGGCAGCAGATGTGGAGTCCCCTAAGTTCTCTGCTCATGAAATCGTACTGTTCGCTCTTTGTGCCTGGCATGGTTTCAATCAAGCACCTGAAACTGAGACAGCTTGCAAGGACCTCCTCGGATTTGGGCCGGAGGAACAATAGAAGACTCACCCAGGTGTTAGCGGTGTCTGCACGTACCAGCACCACTAGCACCGGCGGGGGGGACGATTGTTAAAAAAAGCAAAAAAAAAAAAAAAAAAAAAAAAAAAAAAAAAAAAAAACAACCAGACTCAAAAGGGAGGACACAGTTGTCAGGCATGAATGACTACTGAGTACTTCGCCAAGGGAGGATTATGTAAGTTTGACTGACCTGCTGGCCCTCAACTCCACTGATGCCGACCCCGATATGAGCAGCCTGGATCATACCCACATCGTTTGCCCCATCACCGATGCTGAGGGTTATTCTCCCTGTTTGCCTTACGAGATCTGTCACAACCGCCTTCTGTTTCGGCGAAACACGGCAGCAAATGACGTTTTCGCATTTCAACGCGACATTAAGAAACTCCCTCTGCAGCGTCTCTGACAGAGCGTGGATCAGTGAATGCCCGTCTATAATCAGCCCATATGGCCTTACACCCCCCCCACTCATCGTCTTCCCTTGGATAGCTGTCAGGGATTTCAGCCCATCTGCCAGCTGAAAAATACAGACAGAGGCAAACAAGGACCCCGGCCTCAATCTTCTCATTTGATAATATCAGCCTTGGGCACTGGGCCCAAAAAAAAAAAAAAAAAGGAGCACGGAAGAAGATGTGTGAAGGTGAAAATTTCTCAAAATTCTACATCCTGAAAATTTGTGACCCCTGGGAGGAGGGCAAAGGGTAATATCCCCGGTGGAGTAGTACCATTCGCCATCCTCTTAGGGGTCACGATAGAGTTGTGGTCTCCACCGGGGGAGACTTCAACTCGGGTATATATAAGAATAGAAGGGTAAATTAATTTCTACTAAATGCAAAATCATTATTACCATCTGGCCGGGACCATAACTCTGTTGTGACCCCTGCGAGGAGGGCAAAGGGTAATAATATCCCCGGTGGAGTAGTACCATTCGCCCTCCTCTCAGGGGTCACGATAGAGTCGTGGTCCCCACCGAGGGAAACTTCAACTCCGGTATATATAAGAATAGAAGGGTAAATTGAACTAAATTCTACTAAATGCAAAATCATCATTGTGTTTGTTCTGCCTGATATATATTGTAATGCCCTGCACATCGTGTTCGGGTTCTAGCCATTGAACAATCCTTCTCCCTTTTTCTTTCTTTCTTAAGTTTCTTTGTTTTTTGTTTTTTTTTTCTAAAGCTATATTCTTCTCTCAATTTCACCTCACACTAACTACCTACCACTACTCCTAATTGCACTTCTTTTTTACTCCCTTCTCCTTTTTCCTAAAGGGCTGTGGCCTTGAGAGTAGTAAATCATCGAATTCACCAGCCCCAGCTAATGTACACGTATTCGACGTCATTCATCTACTTCTGTCTGGATTCAAACTCACGTCTGTCCTTTCAACAGCTGATGGATGTACCAACTGAGGGCATACTCAAACTAGGACTTTTTTACCTATTTCGGGACGGAATTGCAGTCACATGCATCCAGGTGCGGCCGTGTATACGGTCAGATCCATTTAAGATTGTGCTAGTGTGAGTACGCCCTGAGCTAGGTCCGTCGGTCAATGGTAAAAAGGTATAGAATAGAATAACCTGTGGCCAAAACCTTTGTAATTCTTTCGCCCCCAAACGGGGCAAAAAGTCTGGGAGGCCCTCAAGGGAAACTCTGCGGCACTTTTCCACCCCAGCTGGGCCGGTAATGCCTGTGGTGCAGAAATGCCGCAGCGTAAATCATTTCCAGCCCGCGTAGGGGTGTAAAAATGACGCGGAGGTTCCCTTGAGGGCCACCCAGACTTTTTGCCCCGTTTGGGGGGCAAAAGAATACAAAGGTTTTGCAGTGGGGGTATTCAATAACTTTTTCTCAATCCCTTTCATTTGTTTGTTTTTCATAATAAAATAATTGAAAAACACCCATAGATTCCGTACCGTGGGGGCATGCACCGTATACGGTCACAGAGAACCGCCTGGTAAACTGTAGGCAGATAGGGAGGGAGAAGAGGACAACAAACGAGGGGCTGTGACGAACGGACAGTTTCGTCGGACTTTCACCTGGCTGTGGGCAGATAGGAGGGAGAAGAGGACAACAAACGAGGGGCTGTGACGAACGGACAGTTTCCTCGAGTTTCACCAACTCATCAGGAGGGTCGCATTACACCAAACACTGGCAAACAGGTCCTTAATTTTTTTCACTCGTCCCCTAGAACACGGAGAACACGTGAACAAAAAGAAAGGTAACCTCATAATTTGCAATTCGATCGGGATTTTAACTTTTTAGCAGTGCTAAAAACCCGGTAGGACCGGGGGTTCCTCCCCCAACCGGAACCGGACCGGTCCTACCGGCCGGTCGACCGGGCCGGTTCCCCCCCGGTTGGCTGTAGCGCATCTTTTTTTTTTTTTTTT